AATTCTATAAAATTGTAATGAAACGTTGGAAAAGTATATAATTTATTAATTAATTGCTTATATTATAAACAAATCAAACAATTTATTACATTTAATTAATATATTTTTCTTCAAACAGAATGCATTTTTTTAATTATTTGGGAGTTTCTCAATAAGTGCAATAGTAGCAAATGATTGAATAATTGAAATATCCGTATTTTTTTATGTATCAATAATTATAAATTAGAGACAACATGACTATAATAAATTTTTTGAAATTAAAAAAATATATATATTAGAGTAGCTCAAAAGTCAGTTAACCCGCCTGAATCACGAATAATAAATTGCAGCTGTTCTAACTATATCTCAGTTAACTGATTTTTGATCCAATTCATACATTAATTAAATATAATAAATTCTGTATATTTATTTATAACATAAGCAACTAATAAAAAATTATATATACGGTGTATATATACAGGGAGGTGCAAAAGTAAATATATAGCTGTGTGTCTGAGAAATGCAGATGTTTGGTATTTATTATTATTATATTATTATTTTTTAAATGAAAAAACTACTTGTTTCAAACTAAATTAATAATTAAAGAAACTATCATACCTTGAAATAGTCATTGATTTTTTTTGTCGGTTCTGCTCTGGGTTGACTTTTCACTAATATTAAAATAATGTAAAGTAAGTACATGATATTAAAAATAAAGTTAATATTAAAACAAAAATTACTATTTTATTAATATTTATTTAATAAATATGCATTTATTCATGTTATTTAACTCAGCCATTCAACAGTAATAACTATCCTGTGTGTAAAAATAATAAGGCAGACAATAACAGTGAGTAAAAAGTAATTTCATATTATCTCATATATGTATAATCCAGAAAAGCTTCTAAGCTTTTCTGGATTATATTAAGCAAACTAAAATCAGTTATTACAATCCAAAAATATTTTTTTAATCTAGCAGAACAAAAATCTTCAGATTCTAATTTCAGAACACAAACTATATGGAATATTACTATCTGGAATGTCAAGTAGCATTTGGTGATTTATGTAGTTGCCTGCTATGGTATGTTTGTAAATCACAATGATTTCTATCTATCTGCTATTAATAGAATCCTCAATGGGACATCTTAGAACACAATGGTGTCCTCTTGCATTGCAAATGCAGAGGACACCATATCCAGACTCTGTACATATCCAGACACCTCAAAAAAAGATTCAAACAACAATATGATGTCATGAAGAAATGCAACACTATGGCAAATGTAGAGTGCCATAGCATAATAATCAGCAAGCAAGCAGAAATCATTGAGATTTATAAACATAACATAGCAGATAACTGCATAAATCATAACACTGATGAATTATCAAATGTATGGACAATGTATTGTGAACATGTAAGATCCTCAACGATGACCATTTCTAAGCCCATGGCATTTTTTAGTTCATGATATTTGAATACTAAAAACTATCATTATTTACTTCAAATATTTTTTCTATACAGTAGACCCCCTATAACCCGGGTTCCTATAATGTAGATTCCTATAACGCGGCAAAAAAATTGCAACAGTATTCGTATAAAGACGCTAAAAGGGACGCGCAAAAAAAAAAAAAAAAAATTTCCTATGTCTCAAGAATCAACAGTGTAGTGGAAAACAACAACAAGAGTGATTGCAAGTCCATATCTTGTCCTTAAGAGGTTCTGTTAAGCAGAAATTTTTGCACGTAAAGCCAAGAATAAACCATTATTAACATAGAAAACGACAGACAAGATTAGAATGAACCAAAAAGCATTACTAATTGAACAATGAAACAATAACATGTCATTGTGAACCCGTAGTCTAGTAAAATTATGATTTAACTGAGCATTAATTTTAAAATAGAAAAACATTTTTTATTCTATTCTATAATTATTTCTCAATGAGATTGGGGCTTTTTGTGTTTTTACTGGACTACTGGTATTAGGAATAACGAGGTCTGGATTGTACCCCCACAATGCAATGCATGTCACTGCATGCGCACATTACTTGATATTTAGCAAATTTAGACATTATGTTTGTTACAAAAATTGAAAGATTCATTTATTGTTCTGCACATTATAAATTCGCAGCCATTACATTGTAAGTACACAATTATAATCTCTATTTAACAATGTGGGAACCAAATTTTGAAAAAATTGCTGAAGATTTATCGCAACAAGTATCCCATTAAATTTTGTTAGAAATTATTGTAGAATAATTTGAATTTCTTTATTGTTAATTATAATTATTTATTTTTAAAAAATGTAATTTATGCACATATTCTGTGATTTTATATAATATACTTAACAAATAATAATAAATAAATGTACCTGATTAAATTTATTATTATTTATGTAAAATAAGTAATTCACTTTTATAGTTAGAGTTTTTTTATGGCACTCAGTTATAAGGATTATAAGGGCTTATACATCTAACGCAGTAATTATGAAATTTACATACAAAAATATAAGGGGTACTTGAGAAACAACTAATGAGGTACATCAACAAAATAAGTTGAGAACCACTGATTTAAAGTATAATTAATAAAATGCCAGGGAGAATTCAAACTGTTATTAAAGCTAAATATGATGTCATAAAATATTAATGAATACATTTTATAGATTAAGGTATCCATATTCTGTTTTCATAAATATTTTGTCTAAATTATTTGTGTTTATTAACTTTTTAAAACAGGTTTATATATTTTCAAGTATCATATTATTGCTCATTTGTCATAAAAGAATAAATTGCAGTAAACCAAACCTTGCAACCCTTATTTTTCTTCTATATTTATCACAACTTATTGTTAATTGTAAACCTATGATTATCCTTATCATAGGTTACATCTATATTAATATTCTGCTTGCTTCATATAAACACAGCAAGCATGCAATACATTAAAAAACTAGTGTATTTATATACAATACTCTCTTGCTAAATTGGCCCTTAATAATCTATCCTTTCAATTATCTGGCATACTCTCAGTGTGATTGTGAATGTTCTTCCATTTCCACAAAGATGCTAGTCATATCACACATCCTGTTTTCTTGTTAACTTAGGTTACAGTACTGTATGTTATTGAATTGTATTATTTGTCCACCTGCCTTCAGAAAGAATAACTACCAAAGGACAACAGATCACATCATTTATTGCCTTTAGGAGAGATTTAGGCCTGTACATTCAGGAAGCTGATATTCTTGCTAATCTGATAGTCCTCTCTGAAATGAATTGCCAAATTAGCAAAAAATCTACTGTATTTCCTGAAGGTTAATAGAACCAGTAGTCTGCATTACTGATGGCAATGTTAGTTAATATAATCATTAATTTAAGTTTATCCTTAATATTAAATACTTATTTTTTCTAAATAATATTAAATCATTTGAAAATAATTCCAATCTCTGAAACTCTTTTATTTTAACATATTTGTCAGTAATCCAACATTCTTATATCAATTATTATTATTATTATTATTATTGATATAAAA